AATGTGGGGAATTGCATCAATAAAGTGGTATTTCATTTATATCAAGTTAAAGTTCTCTAGTTTAAAAAAACTTCTTTATTTAGTCCTTATGGCCTGGCTGGACTTTTGGTGATTTCTACCTTATACAAATAGTGTATAGAGTAGATAGTAGTTGGCACCTCCCCCAACTCAGGTCTCCACCAAGCTGGAAAGAGGGCTGAGCCATGCCTTTCACCCTCTCCTCTTCCTTGTCATAAAGGATGGAAGAAGAGGAAGAGGGAGAAGCGGAGTCTCGGCAAATAGAACCCTAAAGCAGCAGAAGACTTGCAACTGTGTTAGGAAACAGATCAAGGAAAGGAACCCAATCATAGCTGGGCAGTGGTGGCTCACGTCTTTAATCCCAGCACTTGAGAGACAGAGGCAGGTGGATCTCTGTGAGTTTGAAGCCAGCCAGGACTGTTACACAGAGAAACCCTGTCTCAAAAAAAAAAAAAGAAAGAAAGAAAAGAGAAGGAACCCAGACATATTAACATCCAGCACATAATGAAAAAAGAAAAGGTGGCACTGGCCTCAAGGTCATCATAAACTTAAAACTGTGCAAAGTCAGATCCTAAAACTGCCACATGTGACAAGGTTTCAGAGCTCAGCTATTTCTCTAAGCAAAGATGATACTTGCCTTCACTGCTTATTTCATAGATCTTAGATCTGTTTTCCTCATAGAGAGAGTCAGAGTCTGAGTCAATCACCACACAGCTAAGTAATAAGGTGGAAAAAACAAAAGAAAAATATGAGCATAATATTCTTCCCTTCTGGGCAGTTTCCATATTTTCTACAATAAGCAGGATTACTTGTTAATTTTTGGTTGTTTCCTACTACACTAACGCTGTTCCCCTTTATTGGAACTACAACCTTTCAATTATTTCAATTTTTCTATACACCTTTCCCCTTTCTCATAACCTTCCCAAAGGAGGTGTCTGTCGGCTACGAAGAGTAAACTGGGTCTTGTCAGAGTGCAAGTACTCAAAATAGTTTTGGTTGGCAGGGAAATTCATTGGGAGCTTATCATTCTTCAACTCTGAGATGAATTTGTGTAAGAGAAGAGAGCCAGAAAGCAAAGGTTCTCACTGACCCCTTGTCAACTTGACACAAAGATGTCACTGGTAAGATATAACCTTTCCTTTTTTGTTCATCAACAAGATCACACATTAATAAACATTACAATATAAACATTACAAAATTTACAAGTCCCGCAGTATTTAAAATTCCAAACACTTAAAAAAATAGTATCTTTAACATATCTAGTCTCTTAAAATCCAAAGTCTTTGTAAATTTTCAAAATCTCTTTAAAAAGTTCAAAGTCTCTCAACCGTGGCCTTCTGTAAAATCAAAACTAAGCACTATCTTACTTCAAGAGGGAAGAACAAGGGCACAGTCACAATCTGAATAAAGCAAAACCAAACTTCAACTGTGTAAATAATTCAATGTCCAATATCTGGGTTCGAGTCATGATCTTCTGGGCTTCTCCAAAGGACCACTTTTCTGACTCTACCCACTACAGCCCACAGATTGTTTCCTAAGATCAGGATGACTCTACTCCATTGCTATTGTTCTTGGTAGTTGTCCCATGGTACTGGCATCTCCAAAATACTGAGGTCTCTTGCTGCAATTGGGCTATACTTTCACCAATAGCCTCTCTTGGGCTCTCTTCAGGGACTTCAGCCCTGCCACACAGTGTCAAGTCCCAGCTCGTCTCCACGATACCTTCATGACTTCAAAACCAGTACCACCTGAGTGACTCTTACACTACCAGGTTCTGCTGCCAGCACAAGGTACAACCTAGGCCACTTCTGGAGTACTTCTGTGAGCTAATTCTGAGAAAACACTTCCCACAAGATTTCACCTCAACAATGGTGTGTTCTTCTTAATCACTGCTGATTTCTCAGCTCTAGCTGTCCAGCATCAATTATCCCAGCAAAGCAAAGGTCTTTTTTCCCACTTAAATGGTTTTGGTATCTTGATAATCACAACCAATTCTTTCACACACAGATTCTTAACACAAGATTAACAGCCCTAATGAGAGTCTTTAAGTGATTTCCAATCTTCCCTCTGAAACTTCAAAAACCACACCTCCATCATCTGCATTTCTCTCAACACTTATCTTCCAAGTTCCCATAGAACATTTCACCAGGCTTTGAACACTGGATTTTCTGACCCCGAAGTTCCAAAGTACTTTCACAATCGACCCCCAAATGACATGGTCTGGTCTGTCATAGCAATGCCCTCTCCTGGCACCAATTTCTATCTTATTGTTGTGATGAAACACTATAACCAAAGCAACTTGGGGAAGAAATGATTGATTTGGTCTATACTTCCACATCAACGAAAGAAGTCAGGACAAAAAGTCAAAGGAGTTTGGAGTCCTGGAGGCAGGAGCTAATGCAGAGGCCATGGAGGAGTGCTGCTTACTGGCTTTCTCATCATCATCTCAGCCTGCTTTTTTATAGAACATAGGACCAACAGCCCAGGGATGGCACCACCCACAATGAGCTGTGCCCTCCCACATCAATCACCAAGAAATGTCCTACAGGCTTGCCTGCTGCCCAATCTTACGGAGGCATTTTCTTAGTTGAGGTTCCCTCCTCTCGAATGATTCTAGCCTGTGTCAAGCTGACATAAAATTAGCTAGCATACACTCTTTATCCCAAGATATACTGGAACTCAGAGAAACTCTGCCTCAGTCTTCCAAGGGCTCTGATTATAGCCACGAACACTCTGTATGATATACTTTAAAAAAAATCATCATTATAGGGGAAGTATATAGTGTGTGTGGGTGTGCATGTGCCAGAGAACACAACTGGAGGTTACAGGACAACTTTGTGAAGTCACTTCTCTTCTTTCACCTTTACATAGATACTGATAATCAAACTCAAGTCATCAGGTTTCTGTGGCAAGTACCTTAACCCAGTGATCCATCTCCTAAACATGAAACATTTTTATGATGAATGAAAAGCACTCCATATACTTGTTACTATATTTTCCTGTATCCATTACAGATACCAAGGCTAATCTATTTCTACTGTACATGATCTCTTTTAAGCTGCCAAGTTGATGGGCCTTTGCTATCCTATTTACTACTCTAACCTTAAAGAATCTTTCTTCTAGGCTGGGTGGTGGCACATGCCTTCAATTCCAGCACTCAGGAGTCAGAAGCAGGCAGATCTCTGTGAGTTCAAGGTGAGTCTGGTCTACAGAGTTAAGTTCCAGGACAGCCAAGAAACCCTGTCTCAAAAAAACCAAGTGTGGGGGCTGGTGAGATGGCTCAGAGGTTAAGAGCACTACCTGCTCTTCCAAAGGTCCTGAGTTCAATTCCCAGCAACCACATGGTGGCTCACAACCATCTGTAATGAGGTCTGGTGCCCTCTTCTGGCCTTCAGGCATACATGCAGACAGAATATTGTATACATAATAAATAAATAAATATTAAAAAAAAAACCAAGTGTGTCTTCTATGGGCTGGAGAGATGGCTCAGCAGTTAAGAACACTCGCTCTTTTTAAAAACAGAATTTTCATTTTTTTTATGTATATGGATATTTAGCCTGCAAGTATGGCTATACACACTGTGTGCATACAGTGCATTTGGAGTCCAGAAGAGGGCATCAGGTCCTCTGGGACTGAAGTTACAGGCAGTTGTGAGCCATCATGTGGGTGCTGAGAATCAAACCTTAGGCCTCTGGAAGATCAGCCAGTGTTCTTAACCACCAAACCATTTCCAGTTCCACACTTGTTGCTCTTGAAGACAACCCTAGTTTGGTTCCCAGCACTCACGTGGTAGCCTATAACTGGTTGTAATTCTGGTTCCAGAGGGTCCAACAACCCTTTTCTAGCATTCATGGGTACAAGGCACACATACATAAAAACAGGCAAATGCTTATACACATAAAGATAACTAAGTATTTTTCTTTAAAAAGAGTCTTTTTGCTGGGCATGGTGGCATGCTTTAATCCTAGAACTCAAAAGGCAGAGACAAGGGTGTTGGGAGGAGGGGCGGAAATGGAAACTTTTATAATTTAATAAACTTTGAAAAAAAAGGCAGAGACAAGTGGATCTCTCTTAGTTTGATGTCAGTCTGGTCTACATAGTGAGTTATAGGACAGTCAGAGATACATAGACTGTCTCAAAAACATTAAAAACTAAAAGGCTTCTCTTAATTTCTAGCACATGGTCATCTTTTGGTTCTCACCCTATTTCTATGCATTCCTTACTCACTTCTTTTCCTACAACTTACTGGGCCAGATCATTATAAGCTCTAACTGCTAGGTTAAAAACCTGATTTTTATATGATGAGCTATTTGAATTGGGCATCAATATAATTTCAGTATTCTCAGCATATTCACCTAGAGGCAGGATGCAGACTAGATCACAGACAAAACGTCTTTTTGACTGATGGAGACTAGAAAATCATGGTTCAAAGACATTTTAAAACTAACTGAGCATGCACTTAATCCTAGCACTTAGGAAGCAGAGGCCACAAGTTCAAAGTCAACCTTATCTATATAGTAAGTTCCAGGTTAGCCAGGGCTACATAGTGAGACCCTGTCTCAAAAAGCCAAAAACTAGCCATGTGTGGTGGTGCATGTCTTTAATCCCAGCACTCAGGAGGCAGAGGCAGGCAGATCTCTATGAGTTAAAAGCCTACATAGAGTTAAAAGTCTACATAGAGTGTTTCTGGAAAACCAAAACTACACAGTGAGATCAAGTCTCAAATAAGCTAAAAACTATAAATAAATAAAAGCAACCAACAGCTAAACAGTTAAAAAATGGCCCAAGACAAGAATCAGATACTTTAAAACTGGTTATAAATTCAAACAACCATCGTGATTCTGTCAGTACCATATAGTGTTTATTCTCAGAGAAAATGAAATGTTTACTCTTAAACTTTCTTACTCAGAATAGTGGGTACTTCCTATAGATAGATAGATAGATAGATAGATAAATGGTCATGTTTCAACAATTCTCCTTACCTGGTTTCTTTCTGTGGCTTTTTAGTCAAAGCTAAATTAAAGAAAGAAAAAGCATTAGGAAGCATGATAAAACCTAGTAGCTCATGTCTTTTACTCCTGAAAATCAATTTATAAATTAGGGCTAGTAAAATTTACATTTTCCCAAAACTGGGGACATAAGTCAGTGGTAGAACATTTGCCTACTACACCTTGGGCTCTTTGTCCAGCAATGGAAAGAAAGTCAAAGAAAGGAAGAGAGGGAGGGAAATAGAAAAAAATAAAAGAATGTATACCCCCAAGAAAGATTGAGAGGAAATAGAAGATGACCCAGGAACCAAAAAGGAATAAACAACACATTAAAAAAAAAACCCACAAAGATCTGCTCTTGACACCAGGGAAATAAACTTCAACAACCCAAAAATAACAAGCCTAGGACCAAATCAAGCCAAGTGTCCCAAACCTCATTTCAGTCATCTCTATAAAGATGCTTGATGTGCATTACTATTGAAAGAGGGGGCTACTTACAGTTTTTGCTGCTGCTGCTGCTACTGCTGCTGCTACTACCGCTGCCGCTGCTACTGCTGCTGCTTGAATCCATGTTAAGAATATAACTGGGGGGAAAAAGAGGCTTTTAAAATGAGGGCTAGGGAGGCAGAGGCAGGAGGATGCTGCGGGAGCTCCTCCTACTCCTTCAGCCAATAGCCTCGGAGATACCAGCCCATTGGGGCGTGGTCTCTCTCTCTTTAAAAAAGCAACGGCTATTGGCTGAAGGAGTGAATGATATGGGACAGAAACTCCAGAAACTCTGGGTTTTTCTTTTAACAACAGGCTTGGAATTAGAGAGGGGCTGGAGAGAGAATGGAGGACAGCTGCTGCTTTTTTTAAAGAGAGAGACCATGCCCCAATGGGCTGGTATCTCTGCAGCCATTGGCTGAAGGAGCAGGAGCTCCCGCAGCAGGAGGATCTCTGTGAGTTCGAGACCAACCTGGTCTACAAGAGCTAGTTCCAAAACAGGCTCCAAAAGCTACAGAGAAATCCTGTCTCAAAAAAACAAAAAAAAAACAAAAATAGATGGATAGATAGATAGATAGATAGATAGATAGATAGATAGATAGATAGATACAAAAACCCTGAACCTAGGGCTGGAGATTTGGCTCAGAGGCTAAGAGCACTGACTGTTCTCCCAGAGGTTCTGAGTTCAATTCCCAGCAACCACATGATGGCTCACAGCCATCTGTAATGAGATCTGGTGCCCTCTTCTGGCCTGCAGGAACACATGCAAGTAGAATGCTGTATACATAATTAATAAATAAATTTAAAAAAAAACCCTAAACCTAATCTTTGGGGGCGGGGAGGTAAAAAAAAATAATAAAGATAAAGTGAGGGCTACCAATAACACAGGCCATAAAATATCAAAACTCTCCAATAAATGCTAAAAACAAGCAACTTCTAAAATGCAGGGGCAGAAGATACTTTAAAAGCTTATTTGCACTAGATGATGGTGGCACACACCTTTAATCCCAGCACTTGGGAGACAGAGGCAGGCGGATCTCTGAGTTTGAGGCCAGTCTGATCTACAGAGCAAGTTTCAGGACTGGCTCCATAGTTTACGGAGAACCTCTGTCTCAAACAAAAACAAACAAACAAACAAACAAACAAAAAAGCTTACACGTGTCCAGGTTGACTTCAATAGCAAAATGATAGTCTATTATATTAGATACTGAGGTGGCTTTAAACCCCATGTAATATAGAACAAGACCTTGAAGTTTTTATCATCCTGCCTCCTCCCTCTTGAGAACTGGGATTACAGTAGTATAACTGCCGTGCTCAAGTTTATGCAATGCTGGTGACTGAACCTAGAGTTTCATGCATGCTAAGGTAAATACTCTACCAACTGAGCTAGATTACAGCCCCTATATGCGCTTCTTTTAAAAAAGATTTTGATTTTTTAATTTTATCTGTCTGTCTGCCTATATGTGACTGCAAATGCCTGTAGTGACCAGATCCATTAGAACCCTCTAGAGCTAGAGTTACAAGTGGTTGTGAACACCCAACAGGAGTTCTGACAACCAAATTTGGGATCCTTTAAAGAGCAACAGGCACTTCTAACTGCTACAACATCCTTCTCAAGTCCCTATATGTATGTATAACTGTCATCAAATGTAAGATGTGCAAATTTCAGAAATATGGAGATGTTTCAGAACTGAACGGTGAGATAGCTTGACTCAGACCTCTCAACTATGCTAATAACAGTCTGTTGTAAGCCGGCTCACCTAGACTTTCATAAGACAGGCTCTTGAGCAGTAGTTATAAAAGAACTGTTTCTTTCATAGGGCTACTGTAAAAAGTAAACCAGAAAATGGCTGTCCTCTCTCTTCTCTACCCCTCTGCATCACATTTTCTTAATCACAATTCACTGTAAATGCTTATATACATATCAATTTGCTACCCTAAATGGGAAGCAACATAATTAAGAAGTATTATGTGTTTACTTTTGGTCAATACAAAGTCAGAATAACTGATGCATGAATATCAAGGAGTGGTTCTAAAATCAGGTGGCTCATGTATATAGTCTCAACACTTGGGAGACTTAAGGAGGAGACTGTCACAAGTTCCTGCCTAGTCATAGTCATCTGAGAGCTCCAGGTCATTTTTAGTTATGGAGAAGGAATATTGTCACAAGTTCCAGGCCAGCCAGCCTTTAGCTATCTGAGAGTTCCAGGTCATTTTTAGCTATGGAATGAGATTCAAAAAAAAATTTTTTTAAAAAGTGATTAAAAAATTTTAAAGTCTAAAAAGAAAAATAAAAGTGATCCCCCTTTTTATTTGTGATCTTCTAATCTTCATCACAAAACCTCAAGGTTTGAAAGATTGCTTTCAAGGTTTTTAAATTTTTATTTTTGTCTCTGTTTGCCTATGGCACAGTTGTACGGCTGCCCACAAAGACCAAAAGAGCAGGTTGGATTGACTCCCTGGGGCTAGAGTTAAAGTGGTTATGAGCTACCCAATTCTGGGAATGGAACTCTGGAAAAGTAACAAGTGCTCTTAGCCACTGAACCATCTCTCTATCCCTGAAAGAATCTTTGCCTACTAGATTCTATTGAGTACTCATTTTCTCCAGGTGAATCTTTGCACTTCTCATTTCAGAAACACAGATCTTCAATCCTTCATCAAATGCTGGAGGTATGTCTGGTGTGGCAGCCCACACCTTTCATCTTAGCACTCAGGAAGCTGAACCAAGAACTCAGTTTGAGGTCAGTGTAGTCTAAGTAGTAAGTTCCAAGACAGCCAGGCTATACAGAAACCATCGCAAAAATTAGAACAAGTTGAACCTATCCCAGCACTCAGGCAGAAGCAGGCGGATTTCTCTAAGTTTGAGGTCAGTGTAGCCTACAGAGTGAGTTCCAGGCCAGCCAGTGAGACCGTGTCCCAAAAATACAAACACACATAAAAACAGGGTTTCTCTGTAGCTTTTTTGAGGCTGACCCCTGGAACTTGCTCTACAGACCAGGCTGGCCTCAAACTCACAGAGATCCACCTGATTCTGCCTCCCAAGTGCTGAGATTAAAGATGTGCATCATCACAGCCCAGCATAAACACAAATTTTTAAAAATAAAAAAAGAAATAAGATAAAATAGCTTTTTGAGATTAAGAAAAAGTATCAGTAGTGGAATTGCTGAAGATTGTGAATATTTAATGTGGGGTATATGGTGGTCCTCATCATTAATCCTAGAAATAAGGAGGCAAAGTCAGGTAGATATCTGTGTTGAGGCCTGAGACTTTCGGGTCATCCAGCACTATAGTGAGATCCTGTACCAAAAATTGGATAGAAGTATGGGTATTTAAAATACTGAAACTGCTGGACTAGCCTCTAAAAAGCTCAGTTTATATTCCACTCAAATCTGTGGCTATAGACTACATAATGAAACTCTTAGGTCTAACCTGGGCTACAGAGTTAAAACTCTCCAAAACAAAATTCCCCAAATTATTGATTTGAAAAGTTTTTGTATTTTAGGAAAATAGCCTATTACAATATATAATGCAAAATTCACCTATCTTTAAATTATCTGTGTGAAACTTATTTTACTTCAAGTTAGCAGGACTAACTCCCCAATTCCAACTTTTTTGAGTTGCTTTGTTTTTCTAACGTTAATGATTAAACTAGGGCCTTGAATATGTTCTAATTTTTTTTTTCCAAACAGTTCATTGATTATCAAATTGCCTGCTGACTTATCTACTGCCTCCACTCCTTTCAAATATCATTTTCACCATGGACTAAACTTTGTATTTTATCTATTTCCCACCACTCTACTCTGTACCTCCCTCCATATTTCACCCCCACAGACTGACATACTGCAGTACTTCAAGTAAAAGGGAATGCCGAAGAGACACAGCTATTTTAAATACCTGTGATCATGAAGAAAATCATTTTGCCTGGGTCTCTCTGGGGGCAGCACTATCGACAATGAAGTGGAAAAAACCATACAACATTAGATATGAATTTCAGAGTGACTTTGCAGGAATTATTCATTCACAATAATGTGTTATGAGCCAGGCAGTGGTGGCCCACACCTTTAATCCGAGCACTCAGGAGGCAGAGATAGGCAGATCTCTGTGAGTTCTGTGAGTTTTGGGGTCCAGCCTGGTCTATAAAAGCTAGTTCCAGTACAGGCTCCAAAGCCAGAGAAAGCCGGTCTCGAAAAATGAATGGATGAATGAATGAATAAATAAGCAAAAAACTGTTGTATGCTTCACAGAATTATGAGTTTCTGATCACTGACAAAGATATGTAAAAATCTGGAATTATAGAACCCAAGATTCTTATTTCTTTACAATTTTAAGACTAACCAAGTCCAAGCAAGTGAAATGGCCCATCAGTAAATGGTGCTTACCACGAAATTTAACAACCTGAATTTAATACTAGAGGCCTACATAGTAGAAGAAAACGAACTCCTGTAAGTTGTCTATCTTCTGCTTTCCATATGTCCACCACTGCACAAGCATGTCTACACAAAAAATAAATATATGCAAGTTTTTAAGATTAACTGAGTGGTTCGGTGATAGCACACACCTTTAATTCCACCACTGGGAGGCAGAGGCAGGAGGATCTCTCTGAGTTCAAGGCCAGTCTCATCTGCAGAGTGCCAGGGCTAGCAGTGAAACCCTGCGTCAAAAAATAAAATAAAAATTAAAAATATTAATTGAGATAATAGGGTATGGTGACTCAAACTTGCAACCTCAGTACTTGGGAGAAAAAGGAACAAAGATCCCAAGTTCAAGGTCAACCTGGTTTACAGAGCAAGTTCCAGGACAACCAGGGTTACACAGAGAAACCTTGTCTTGAAAAGAAACACCACAAAGTCTTTAAAAAAAAAAAAAAAAAGAAGCAGCCAGGGCAGGTGCAACGGTACACACCTTCAATCCCAGCCTGGTCTACACTGTTGAGTTTCAGGACATACAGGGCTACAGAGAGGCCTTGCCTCCAAAAACAATAAATAAATAACTCAGAAGGCAAAAGCAGGTCAATCTCTGGCCTGGTCTACAGAGTAAGTTTCAATGAAACCCTGAACTACACAGGGAAACCTTATCTAGAAAATAAAAATAAAAATAGAAAAAGCCAAAGGCATGTAGTAGTTAGCCCCTTAATCTACTTCAAATGCCACTTTAATGAGGTATAAAGACGAAGACAAACCTCAATTTGATCTAGTTTTATTTCAACACGGGTCGTCTTTAATAATTGCTCAACCCCTAGTCTCTCATTAGCTGCTGGCCTCACATTCGCAGGGGCAGAATTCCCCCTGCGTCTCTGGCTGGGAGGCTTACTAGTCCTCCCTCACCTAGGTTCTGGTCCTGTGGAGTGGGCCACACCAGGTCTCACAGGACAGGAGGCCACAGGGTCGCTCCGCTCCCACAGGACCCTCCCACCCAGGCCAGTCGCTCCCGCCCGCCCCCCCATCAGCTACTCGGTCCCACCCCCCCATTCGCCCCTGCCCACCCACTCCCTCAGGTCGCTGGTCCCATCCCCGCCACCCACTCCCCACCAGCCCTGCCCCCACTACCCCCTCCCCTCGCAGGAAACGCGCCGCCAGCAGCCCCCACCCCTTCTTTGGTCCCTCCAGTCGCCGTGCCTCACCAGCCAGCCCCGCCCCCACTCCCCCCCATTGCAGCAATCCCGCTTCTGTCCCTCCAGCCCCGCCCCCGTGCCTCACCAGCCAGCCCCGCCCCCGTGCCTCACCAGACAACCCCGCCCCTGCTTCCCCCTCCCCTTGCAGCAAACCTGCTTCAGTCCCTCCAGCCCCGCCCTAGTCCCTGGCTGCACTCGCCCTCTGCCCTAACCCCGCTCCTGCTAGCTGACCCCGGCCCTGCTCCTGCTCCGTTCCCAGCAGTCAGTCCAGCCCCCACTCCAATGCCCTTGCCCTCGCTCCCCCACCTGCTCTAGTTCCCCGCCATAAGTCGACCACTCCCCACTCGGCCTGGGTGCCCTCTGCCATTATTCCACACTGCCCTGTCCCCACTGTGGTCCGCCAGCTGACTCCGCCCCATCTCCAGTGCAGGCCCGTTAGTCCCCTCCCACTCCCTCCGGAAGCTACTGCCACTCAATGTCCCCCACTGGGCTTCCGCAGCTTCCTATTGGCTGTGCGGCCAGGGGTTCTCTCAGGCTCTTCGCCAACCTGCCCAATGGCCTGCCTAAGTTTTGTGGAACATTCTAGAAACACAATAGCTTCCCATTGGCGGAGCAGCCAGAGGTTCTCTCAGGCTCCTCCCCCAACCCGCCCACCGGCCAGCCTAAGTTTTGTGGAAAATTCTAGAAACAGAATTGGCACTCTTCTAGTTCTAGAAGCTTCCAATGAGACTTCTTCAACCCCTCCTCTTCCCCACCTGCTAGGCCACTAGTCCACTATCCATGGTCCTCAAACCTCTCCCCTCAGCTCACCAACACCCCCCTATCCAAGTGGGTGTGCGGCCATAACACTATGTGTAGACAGAGCTGCACCATTTCTACCACAGCATAAAAACTCTAGGCCTGCGCCACTGTTGTCCCACCTGTCCCAGACCTGACCTCCTACTACCTGAACCGGGCACCATGGCACCTATTTGGAGCCAGAACTGCCCTCTTCCCACTACTCGCCCCACTATCCTCCCACTCTGAGACCTTCTCCTCAAACCCCCTCAGAGGTTTCGTTTGAGGTCTCCGCACCACACTCCCACTGCCATGCTGGTAACAGCTTTAACGGGGGACCAGAGGACCTTTATGGCAGTGCCAGGGACCAAACCCAAGGCCGTCTGCACGGTGGGTGACCACCTCAGCTACATTCCCGCCCACTGAACCCCTCTGCCTTTTTTTCTGAGGGGAAAGGGTCTAAAGGAACCTCAGTCCCACAGTTCCCGTGTTCACACACAGAAGCCAAGGTGAACTGTTGCGGTGGGGCTTTTAACAACTTCTACCACACTAAATGAAGCCACCGCCCGAAATAGGACGCCTTCTCCGTACCTGCTCTGGCAGTGTCTGGCGTACCTCACAGCAATGGCCCGATGAAATGGCCGCCAGCACCAGCACAGCACGCCAATGGCTACTGCGCATGTCACAGCCGCCACCAACAGCTCCAGCGTGTTTGAAAGGCGTGTGTGAAAAGGCCACCAGGTACAGTGCCTTTTATAAGGCATAACCCTCCCCCACAGGAACTGACGTTTTCCCGCCTTCCTGTGCCCACCTATCACAGCTCATCATAGAGCGAATTTGCATGTTACTATGGAATAGGCACACTAGCTTCCGGAATCAGGTACGGCTTCTCTGAGATAGCAGTTGTCGTCATAGAAGTGCGCCATCTATTCTCAAACAATCCCTGCCGTTCCCATTTTGATTTTGCCCCCATTTTGTTTTTGCGATCTGGTATATGTAGTACGAGCTAGAGTGCTGAAATTACAGATGTATAGCTACCATGCCTGGCTTCTAATAACTTTCTGAGTGCTAAGAAAAACCAAACTTAATTCTTTAAAAAGTGAGAATTCGAAGGCTGGTTCTACTTACCTTGCTTAAATTGCCAAAAAAAAAATTTTTCGCTTGTTTGAGACAAGGTTTCTCTGTATAGTTTCAGCTGTACCCGAACTTGCTGCTCTCTGATAACTCACTGCCTCCGCCTCCCGAATGCTGGAATTAAATGTTCTACCACTACCGGCCTGCCCAAATCTTTTAAACGTTTGTCTACCTGGTTGATCCTCCAACTACTCTGAGCACTGGCTGGCAGAAAGGACCATCTAGTCCCCTCAATAAAAGCAACGCAAAAACATCTAGCAACAGAGAACTGTGGCACTGGCATCCAGAATTGTCAGACCCTGGAGAAAAAAAAAATGGAGTATGGTTACTTTAAGCTTTTCGGTACCCATTCAAATCACAAGAAAAACAAGTGCTCCAAAGCTACACAGAGAAACTCTATCTTGAAAAAATAAAATAAATAAACAAACAAACAAACAAATCAAACAAAAAGTGCACAAAGGGGCCAGGTACAGTGGTGTACACTTTTAATCTCAGCCCATGGGAAGGAGAGGCAGGCAGATCTCTGTTGAGTTCAAAGACAGCCTGGTCTACAGAGTTAGGTCCAGAACAGCCATATAGTGATATGGTGTCCTGAAAAAAGCAAAGTATATAAGGGGCTGGAGAGATGGTTGCTTCAATGGTTAAGAGCACTATTCTTGCAGAGGATCTGGGTTTAATTCTTAGCACCTGTACAGCAGCTCACAACCACTCATAACTCCAATTTCAGAGAATTTAAGGCCCTCTTCTGACCTCCTCAGGCACCAGACACACATATGGTGCACTGACATACATGCAAGCAAAACCTCATACATGTAAAAGAAATTATGAAAATAAAAAAATTAAAATCTAAAAAAAATGTATACATAAGCCTCCTGGACACTGGCATGCCACACCCTCGTCGCAGCTACTCAGGAAGTGAGACCGAAGAACCCCTTGGGGAACCCAGGAGCATACCTAAACAACAAAAGGAAACTACTGTCTCTAAATAATTAAAAATTCAACGTTAGCGCCCAGCAAAATGCATGCTGGACCAGCATGAACATAAAGCACAGGTGTCTCTTTAATCTCAGTGCTTGGAGATAGGGCCAGGTAGGTAAGGGATGGAAGATACAAACAGTGAACTACAAATAAGATGGAACATACCAGAGAGAGAAACAACTGACATCCACACAGAAACAAACATATACTATACATCCAAATTTTTAAAAATAAAAATATAGGGCTGGAGAGATGGCTTAGCTGTAAGAGCACTGGCTGCTCTTCCAGAGGACCCAGGTTCAATTCCCAGCACTGGCATGGCTGCATGCAATCATCTGTAACTCCAATTCCAAGAGATTCAACACCCTCTTCTGGGCTCTGTCACCTCACGAACATGCAGGTTTATGGACATGCAAGCAAAGCACCTATACAACACCTAAAAAGAAATATTAAAATGCAATGTTAATACTCTCACTTTAAGAGGCCAAACAACTAGAAAGTGGCACAGCTAGAACTCAATTGTAACAGCTCTAGTTAGTTCCAAAGTGCACCATAGATAGACAGACAGAAAGACAGACAGACAGACAGACACTAAGTAGATGAATAAACAAACAAGCAGGCTCCTTGAACTGAAAAATAGTAAGAAAAATAGTAACTCTCCTCCATAAAAATGAAGATTGCTTGACGATGTGGATTAGAGTATAGGTCAAGAATCTAAACAGTAGGTATAAGAAACATAAGCTAAGAGTGTCAGTACACGCTATACTCCCAGCACTTGAGATGGGGAAGAGAGGTTCAAGGTCAGCCTGAGAAATGTTGTGAAACTACCTCAACAACAACAAAAAAGTTAAGATTCAAATTAAACCTTTAAACAGTTCAGCCAGGTACGAAGGCACGTACCTGTAATTCCAGATCAGGAAGCTGAGGCAAAATGATAAATGTGAAGACAAATTTGAAGCCAGTCAGTATTTAGTGAGATCTTGTCAAATACCAGTAGGACAAGAAGGCACATGCTTATAATCTCTTTAACATCAGCACCCGGGAAGCAAAGCAGGAGGACCTGAAGTTCAAGGCCAGCCTTGGCTACATAAAATCCTCTCTAAAACTGCAAAAGAAGCTAAAATTCAGGCTGTTCAGCAATTATACAAATTTATTTAGTCTGTTCAAGGAATTTAGACTGAATGCAGGAGTCACCGAAGAGGAGATAAATGAAACACTCTTAACAATGAGGGTGAAAGACAGACTTATGGGATAGTTGATTTCATCACACACTACAGAGTGGTGAGGTCAACCTTTTTCCCATACCATCTTTTTTGTTTGAGACAGGGCTTCATTAGATAGCCTGGGAAGTCCTTGAATCTCTAGAGCCCACCAGCTTTGTATCAGCCTACCAGGGCTAGGATTTACAGCTCTGAGTCAGAACACACACTCCAATACTATTAATCATTATGACCCAAAGTACCCAGATTCCAACAAACATAAGTCTCATTAGGGCTTTGGAGGTACAATAAAATTGTTAAGTAAATTATATGAAAATTTACTTAATATTATTTGAACATTTAAAGTATCTTATGTGTATGGGTTTTGCCTGCATGTATGTCTATGCACCATGTTAATATATGTTTTTAATTTTTAAATGTTTTGCCTGTATGTATATACATCTGTGCACCACGTGCATACCTGGTAAACAAGGAGGCCAAAAGAGGGTATCAGATTCCCTGGAACAGAGAGCTACTGATTACCAAGTAGGTGTTGGGAATCTAACCTGAAGCCTCTGAAAGTGCACCCAGAATTCTCTTAACTGCTGAGCCATCTCTCCAGTTCACCCAGAATTCTCAACTACTGAGACATCTCTCCAACCCAAAACATTTCCCTTTTATCTCTGAAAAAACTGGAAGCCAAACTTGTGACTGAGTTCAACCATTGTCCAGAGTGGAGCGGGAAAAAAAATTGTAAATACTTTATTAAAAAACGAGATTATATGGGCTGTACCTGTAGCTCAGTATTTATGTACCTGTTTGACATGCATAGGGCACTCTGCTCAGTCCCCAGAATGGAAGGTAAACAAAGAATGACTCACAAAAGTGTATATGGGTATTTGGGGCTCTTCTGATTCCTTAAAGAATTATTTAGTATTTCCAATCCTCCCATCAGACTTGGCAAAGAAAACAAAGTTAATTCTTAACATTACACCAAATGTAAGGAAACACTTCCTGGTCATTCTGTTTTGGGCTATTCAAGCATAGGTTTCACTAGTAATACTTAACATAATGAGACAAAATACATGAAGCCACATTAAGGGGAAATCATCCATTTATTGTTTAAAGATTGCAAGACAACATTTGAATTTCTGGAGCACAATTTAAATGCTTTACTTTTTCAATAAAGCAGAGTATAATAGAAAAAAACAAATTAGTTTCCAGTAATATCTATAACGCTATCAGAATTAAGTCTTCCACAGACATGTTACCTGGAAATAAAAGCCTGTTACAATATGCAAAGCTTCAACCAGAGCGGCTACTTTTCGTGCCAGGAAAAAGTTCATCCCTATAGGAGGAATGATGTGCTATGTAAAATGGCCACAGATCACAGCCTTAGCGGCACTGGACGTCTATCATCCAATCCCACATTTAGCAGTTCAGTGGATTTTGAAAGTCAGTTTACCTGTAACCATGCTGGCAACCTTTAACTGATATTTATTCAGTTAAAAAATAAATTAAGAAATCCCTTAACTGTTTTCCTTGATTTACATTACTAAAGGTAGACAGTTCATTACAATGTAATTCTACTTCAGAATTACACGAGACTTCTTGCTTAGGTTTTAACTAGCAGTAAAAATCACAAATTCAAGTTCTTAATTATCAACAACTTGTCAGCTAAGGAACATTCAGGCAACAGCTGCAACTACAGAATAGGTGCACTGCTTAGGTGCTTTGGAAAGACAATCTAGAGCGCTAACAGACAAAACTGGTCGGTGGCTGGAGTCTGAGTGCAGGGGAGCAGCACAGAGTCCTATGGCCGCCTGTTTGTTTAAGCCTCAAGCCCTCTACCCTTTTGTTGAAATGCAACTGTCCTTTTATCACCAAGAACTCAAGCTCCAGGAGGGCAAATGAATGTCTAACTTGTCCTCTAAACCAAGTAGTGACACAAATTCACTACTATCAAGGCTGAATCCACAAACTTAGAGACTAAGTCAAAAAGATATACACTAACACAGTCTGAAAAATAACTGCTTGTATAGAGATGGTCCTTTCAGAGCTTTTACCTTGAAATCTGTCAGTGAACAGTATTTAATATACAGAAATAACTGCAACTTACTAATCAAACATTTGAATACTTATACTTACCTGGAATTTCATTTCTGCTGAAAGAAATAGGAAGAACAGGACTCACTTTAAAACACAAACAAACTTTAGAAAGGAAAGTAAAAATCTCATCACACACTATCACTTTTGGAAGCAGCATAGGAGGGGCAGTCAAGGGCTTAAACACTGGTGAAATAGCAAAAACTTAGGCAAAAAAATCTACATTATTATCAATAACAGTACCACAACTATGCCCTTCATGATTAATATTCACTCCTTAAGAATTTTCATTTGGCACCAGATGGTGTGTTTAAGAGAAACACTCTGGGATGTTTGAAAAAAGACTTAGTTTTGTTAGCAGTCACAGGAGAATTTAAAGGAAGTGGGGAAAAGAAATGGGAAAGAGGCTGAAAAAATCCTAAGTCACTGTCTAAATCAACAAAGCACTGACAGTATCAAGCATCAGGTCAGACACTAAAATGACTGATATAGGCTCAAGTGGTTTATAAAACCTATAAAAAGACTACACCAGCACGGTCCCTGTAACCCTGTCAGAGTTCAGACACTAAAACAGGAAGCAACATTTTAGTTTAAAACCTTATCTCAGAAGAATCAAGATCACTTCACATGAGTAAAAATACCTGAAAGCAAACATTTTTAAAAGCTCCAATATCCAAAATATAAAGAAAAAAAAAGGATCAGAAGACTCAATCAATCCATGGAATCACAAAATGGCTGGTCAATCTCTATCTCCCTCCACATTAAGCATCCCATGGAAGACCAAGGGAGACCAGACCTTCCAGACCTCTGCACCACCTGCTTGCTGCAAAACTCTACAGAGATTCCTTGTGGAGTAGCAGTTTCTTATCTCTTGTATCTCCCTATCATGCAGGAAGCAAGTCTGGTTGTGCTATTCTATTATTATGTATCACCCATCTGCAACAAGGTACTGTACAGATAAGCACAAAGCATGTTATCTAGTTCCCTTTCCCCCAGAAGGTTGAGGCTCAGGTATAGGGGTAATTCTCCTGTGCGCAGTCTTTGTTCAGGCTGACTCAGTGACTTCAACAGGCTTAATCATGTGGTCAGGTTTGTTGCCGGCTGCATAATGCTCCCACATCTGCAGATAGAGCCGCTCTAATTCCATTGTGTACTGTTTGGTGTTGAACAGAGGACTAGATATTCTCTGTTTCCAGACTTTGCCACGAATTTTCTTCAGGCTAGGTAATAAAAACAAAGAGAACCTATTTTACAAATCAGAACAAAAACTCAGAACTAGACTCTACAAATAGTCATTTTTGTGGCATAATAATATAAAAAATTAATTTTTTTCTGCTTGACCTGGCAACTTGACACACATATCTGGGAAGAGGGAACCTTAAGTATTCATAAGAATGGTCTATGGGCATGTCTGTAGGTCATTTTCTTGATTCTTGATTAATGAACCAAGCCAATATGGGCAGTACCACCTCTAGCAAACTAGGGGGATCAAGTCAACAAGCAGTATTCCTCCATTTCTGCACTTCAATTCTTGCTTCCAGGTTCTTGTCATGGCATCCATTCATAATGAACTGTGATATGGATGTGTAAACCAAATTAACCCTTTCCTCTCCAAGTTGATTTTGGTCATGGATTTTAACATATCATCAGAAATATACTGAGCTGGGTGGTGGTACACGCCTTTAATCCCCCGAACTCGGGAGGCAGAGGCAGGTATCTGTGAGTTTGAGGCCAGTCTACTCTACAAGAGCTAGCTCCAGGACAGCTAGGGCTGTCTCAGGGGAAAACAAACAAACAAACAAACAACAAAAAAAAAAAACCAAAAAAGGAAATATATTGAAAGTGAAAGTTAGCTGTCCATTGATTAGGCTCAACTCAACTGCATTCATAGTAATATCAATGTTTCCTTTCAAAAAAACAAAACAAAAAAACCCTATAGACTCTATTAGTGCATTTGGGTATATGTGTATATGTTTGTGT